AAGTTCAAGCGCCCGCGAGGGAACGTGGGTTCGGTGAGTCGATCTCGAAAGGCGATTCCTGAGCCTTGGCGTTGTGATGACTGAGTTGTCTCGGTTAGAGATCTCGTCACCTCTTCGAATCGTTGCTGCCGGGCAGTTAGCTGTTGCAAGGTACGCTCATTGTCCTGAGCTCTTTCTACCAACTGTACCATCATTCGGCACATTTCGGATAGCTGGGCTTCCGAGTGATGCGGAGCGTGTTGGCGTTGAAGGTTTTCGGGAGGAGTAGCTCCGGTGTTGCTTCCACCGGAAGACCTTGGGTTAGCTATCCCAGTTTGGTTCGGTTGAGCGTTAGCCGGAGGCTGTCGCTCGGATCGAGGGTCGGCGGGTTGAGGCTCCGGATCCTGAGGGTCCGGATCTCTTCTGTTCGGTGATCCGTCGATCTGGATCACGGGATCCGGGATGGATGGATTCGTTGCCTGGTTGGATGGATCCATTCTCAAGTTATGGAGTGAAGGATTCAATTATCTCGTCCCCACAGACGGCGCCAAAATGTGAGGGATAAAACTCACTTCCAAGTTTTAGGTTAGGTTAGGATTGGGGAGAAGACAATCGTGGGCTGAATCCCTTAAGAACTTAGAGAATGAATACGTTGTTTATATTGATTTTTGGTAATAAAAGAGTTTACAAGGATGATCTTGATGATCTAATAGAAAGAACAATGGTTGATCNTCCGGAGCTGTTTCTTGCTAGCTGTTTTGACAATGAGGTCCCGAGTCTTTTGGCTGTGACCTGTTTTTATCGATAGGTAACGATTTTATTTGACCCTCACTTGAGGGGAGGCTTCCTAATGGGCTCGTAAAGCTTCGCAAACGGCTCTTACTATTTGGCCCATTAATTCAGCTAACGGGCTAAATTCGGGCCCAACAACGAGACACACCAGTATCTATAATAACATCAGAGATATTTCTTTTACCAGAAAGTCGGCCAGTAGAGAGCTGACTTTGTTGATTCTGAAGTAGAGTTATAAGAGCACTGATTTGATCGGTAAGAATAGTTGTTGTAGCAGTAGATGCGGAAGCAGTAGTGATCCGACCTCGTCCACGTCCTCTAGAAGTAGAGACACGACCACCGCGACCTCTGTTATTGGTTCCCGAGTTGCCCCTTGAATTTGAGCGTTGTTGTTGTTGTTGCTCGAGAAACCAATCCGGGTAGCCATGTAAGAGAAAACACTCAGATGTATCATGACCGGTTCGTTTGCAGTGAGTGCAAGATCGATCACGGTCACGACTACGATAGTTAGTAGTAGCCGCAGCAGCAGTAGAGGAGGAAGGAGTCTCTGTTCTCGCAGTGAAACCAACAGCATCTTGCTTAGTTTCAATGGAACGCATATTGGTGAGATGTTGTTCCGCGCGAATGACCCGTGAGTAAACAATATTGAGGGCAGGAAGAGGATCTTCGTCGATAATTTGAGAACGGATTGTACTGAATCGAGTCTCATCCAGACCAAAGAGAAATTTGTGTACCTTGGTGTCTTCACGCTCTTTTTCAAGTTCACTTGCTGCGGCACAAGTACATGAGGTCGATGGTTTGAAGGATAGTTGTTCTTCCCATAACTTTGAAAGACGGCCGAAGTAGTCGAGAACGGATTGTCCATTCTGCTTGCAATTAGTGATCTCATCCTCTAGAAGGTGCTTTCGTACACTGTTGTTAACAGAGATCGTTGTCTGAGGGAGTCCCATAAGTTGAAAGCATTAGGAAGATGAGCGACTGTACATCGAACTTGAGGATCAATAGATGTTCGAATCCAACCTACAATCATAGAGTTAGTAGATGTCCAACAGGCTAGATCAGGATTTGTCGTTGGTTTTTGAATTGTGCCATCGAGAAAGCCAATCTTTTGTTTAGCTTGGAGAGAGTTCCAGTACTCAGTTGCCCATTCGGAGTAGTTGTCACCGCGAAGAAGAACCGGAGTTATGAGCGCTCCAGGGTTATCCGACGGGTGAAGGCTGTAAGGTAGATTTGACGACGAGCTTGTCAGAACGTCTGTAGTTTCAGAGGTAGTAGTAGAGGTAGTAGTAGAACTAGTCTCCATATTCTGAGGAGAACGTTAACGAGTAGAAAGAATAAAGAGATGAAAGGAAAAAAAATTTCTAGGTCAAAGAATCTTATAGTTCTGATACCATGAAATATGATGTAAAGTGTATGTATATTGATGTACAGAGTAGCGTTTATATACAAGATAGTAGTCCTAATCCTTAAGGGATTATAGGAACCGATAATGACAATAATAGACAATAATAGTTATCCTTATCTCTAGTCTTTATCTCTATAGTTCCTTCCTGGCCGATGCTACTTCTTTATGATTCCTTAAAATTTATTTATTGGTCTTCTTCTCTTAGCCATTGGATTCTTGATTTCTGATGGAAAATAGGGCTATTCCACTCTTTTTAAGTGGTCCAAATATATTTTGAGCTTATGTTTTAAAACTCTTGACAGGACTTTTTGGATTTTGAGTTTTTGTACTTCTCAAAATTATTTATTAAAACATTATATATATAGTGAAAATCACACACACACACACACACATATATATATATATATATATATATATATATATATATATATATATATATATATATATATATATATATATGTGTGTGATTTTCACTATTTTCAGTTTATATAAAACATTTCCACGTGCAAATATAAAGTTAGCTTTAAGAACATCTTTAATAAGATTGTTTTCATACGCATTAAAACCATATTATTAAAGCATAAGAAATACCAATAAAGTGTATAATAATTTATATAATTTTCATCATCAATAAAATAAATATTTCTATTATTAATTCATATTTCCTTGACGACAAAAAAAAAATTCATATTTCCTTTTTTGTTACAATAGGAATGTTAATTGTCAAATAAAAATACTTTTTTCCTTTTTAATCTATTGATTTACTATTTCTCTTTAAACGGATATATACGCATGTTGGTTGAAAATTATCATATAAATACAATAAGCTTTGGTTATATAATATTTCATAAGAGAATTTTGATCGCCTTCATCTTTAAACGCGAGTTTCACAACTTTGTCCGGAACCAATCAGGCATCACACAAGTCGACATGGATAAAGGGGAGGTTCCAGAGGACGCCAACGAGCGTAAGCAAATATCAATTCAATCTTTCAGTTTCTTTTTTTTTTTGCTTGAGCTAATCATGGGTTCTTTATTCTATGTTTTAACCTAATAGTTGCTTATTGTTCTTTGTTTTGCTGGTGATAATAGATTGCCCAGGTCCCCAAGCTGAAACTGCTGGAAAGTCAGAGTCTTGCGCAGGCTGCCCTAATCAACAAGCATGTGGCACTGGCACTGCTCCAAATGGACCTGATCCAGGTTCAAATTTACCTTGTAACAATTAAAATTCGTACTGTTTGATACTAATGTGATATTAACCGATGTTTTGGTTCAGATTTGGTTGCTATAGCTGAAAAAATGGCTACCGTGAAGCACAAGATACTGGTTCTTTCTTGCAAAGGAGGGGTTGGTAAGAGCACATTCTCAGCTCAGCTCTCGTTTGCACTAGCCGGAATGAACCATCTTGTAGGCCTGATGGACTTAGACATATGCGGGCCGAGCATGCCCAAGATGTTAGGCCTCGAAGGGCGTTCCTGTTACAAAGACAACAACGGAGTAACCCCAGTTTATGTCGGAGACAACCTCCGTGTCGTGTCCATATCTTTCATGCACTCCGAGTCCGATGACCAGCCTGCCATCATGAGAGGTCCAAGGAAGGAAGGTGTCATCAGATCGTTTTTCAAAGAAGTTTACTGGGGTGATCATATTGATTACCTTGTGGTTGATACCCCACCAGGAACCTCAGACGAACACATCACCATCGTCAATTGTCTTTTAGACACGGGAATCGACGGTGCTATCATCATTACAACTCCCCAGGAAGTAGCCATGGCCGACGTTAGAAAGGGAGTGACCTTTTGTAAGAACGTTGGGGTCAATGTGCTAGGAGTAGTGGAGAACATGAGTGGTTTAACTCAACCGGTGAGTGATGTCAAGTTCATGAAGCTGATGACAGAGACCGGCTCTTCCCTTGACGTGACACAAAACATTATCACTTGCATAAGAGAGAATGCACCAGAGCTTCTTGATGGCGTCTTTGCATGGAGCCAAGTGTTTGAGAGCAGTGGAGGAGGTGCAGAGAGAATGTGTGAGGAAATGGGAGTGCCGTTTCTAGGGAAAGTTCCTTTGGATCCACAGCTTGGCAGAGCAGCCGAACGAGGTAAGTCATGTTTTGAGGGTAACAAGTGTTCTGTTAGCGCACCTGCGCTTAAGAGCATCGTAGAGAAAGTTATTGCTTCCATAAAGATGAAGGAAGACTTAAGTGGAGGAGAGAACAAAGAGACCCCATAAATCGATGTGACAGCAGCAGCGTTTTTTCTATATAAGTGAGATCACCCATATTTGTTTTATAAGGTGTTTATGACAATTTTTAGGCATTACTTCACATGTTGAAAAAAAGTTTTTGTATGAGTTTTTGAACCACAGCGCCTTTTCTTTAACTGTAGATAGAACAATAAACCGATGAAAGACAGAACTAACTGAAACACGAATTAGATTTAAACGAAATTGAATATAAATAGGTATGTATTGAAGAAATCTAAATACATCAATGTCTAGTAAAACGTAATGGTCTTGGGAGAAAATCCTTCCAGGGTGTTTTCCTCACATGCACGATTGGTCTTAGGAGGATATCCTACCTACAAGATGCATATGAATTGAAACTGAGTATTTACATTTTTCTCTGTTGAGAATATTATATCATCAAGAGAAAAAAAACATGACTCATCACGGTATTTGGATAGTTTATATAGCATTTGTCGGCGAGGGAAAGATTGAGAATGTGAAATTATTCTGTTCTCCTGTTTGACAACGAGTAGAAAGAGTTAAACATGCTCAAATGGTTAGACAATCTATTTATTGATACAGAGGATGCATACTTCCTTTGTATGTTCATTACTTGAGAGATGCTTATTGAAATCATCCAGGCTTTTGCAATCAGAGTTGCACAATTTGCAATAAAACATACCGACTCTTTCTATACTTGGACGGACCTACGAGCATCATATTCATACCCCTCAGGAATCGGGCAGTCCTTCATGTTCCACAACACCAGTATTTTAGCAGTGGCGTATTCAGGCGTGGCCGGGTAGTTCCTTGCCCAATTCTTCGTTACACATAAGAGTCGTGTGTCCTGAGCTTGACAAAGAGTTGCTACTTAGATTTATAAAACAAAAGTATCTGAGATATTTATATATATAGAGAGAGGGGATGCTTGCTTGTTTACTTCCATTCCATGATTATAACTGGAGAGATGCTTCCTGAATTTCTTCAGGCTTTGGCAATCGAAATTGCACGGTTTGCAATAAAACATGGCAGCAGATGATAATCCACCCGCCACAAGTGGTGGTGTGCCTTCTTCTAGTAATTGCTCCCAGGGCCAATTTGCATTATAGTGCAGGAATAAATCGTCTAATAAGATTCAATTAAATCGTAGAAAACTTTAAGTTCTTTTTATCTAAAGAAGAATTTTGTGGTGGCTCCTAGAAGATATTTTTAATTCTTTCAAATGAGACAAGAGTAATTATTTCGGATCCGTTTTTTTTCCTTTTTCAATTTATGAATTTATGTTTATCGATGTTTCAAGTTTTATTTATTGAATGGTTTTATGGAGTTGACATCTTAAATTAATAAATAAAGATTTTCAGATAAAATTATTTATTATTTTATTTTGGAAAATACAGATATACACAAATTTTATGTAACTATAGGGGTTTTGACAATCTTTTAAAGCATAAACTTTTTTTCTTGTCAACTCATAAATTTTGTTTGGCAAAACCCAAAAGACTTACAAAAATATGTGGATGTCTCTCGCTTTGCTGCTATACTTTGTATAGTTTTTGTCTCTTTCTTTGATGTGCACAAGTGTGAGAATGTTTATATTGTTGTATTGTTGTAGCCGTATTTCACCGTTCTCTGAACGGCAAATCTGCCCTGACTATCCAAAACTTAGCCTTTCTCAGAAGTCCACTAAAAAGCAAACGGCTGTATATATCACATGGAACCTATCAATAATCAAGTCAGTTGTTCAAAGAAGAAATAATCAAATCAGAATCTTGACCAAAATGATAATTGTAATCAAAAGTTGCAAATTATAAGAAATCGTATCCTAAACAAAATGTTCAGAAAACTCAAGTATACGAATTAACAACCTTCGTGTTAAGAAAATCGTTGTTATAGAATTTACATATATTATAACTGATTATTTTAATGACTATGTTCCACAGATTCGCATATATTATATAACAAGTTAATACTTAAGCCAGATATCCCTATCCTAACTTCTAGGAGCCGTGGATTAAACTGTAGATGAAGGAAATAAGAAGTATCTATTATATTAAAAGAGAAGTCACGACTCACTTCATGTGTGATATTTTAATTTGGACCATCCATAAAAAAATTTATAAAATTTTACATAACATCATTATAATATCTTTTTATATCTTTAGTTTTTATTTGTAATACAAACAAATAGTTTTAAGAAAATTTTAACAAAATCTTTTAAACAATCTTTTAGAATCTTTTCAAGATATAGTTTCAAAAATTATTTGATTAAAATTTTAATTATCATAAAATATAATAAATTCATTTTTATTTATAAAAAAACAATTAAAGTTATGTAAAATAATTTTAACAATATCCCAAAATTTTGTTTATGTATTATGTAGGTCAAACTTAATTTACTTTTTACATATATTTCAAATTTAGAAATATAACAAAATATATAAATTAGTAATGTTACATAATATTAATTATTAAAACTGTTACAAAAATACAAATTTAGAAATTTTATATTAATAATATTAAAAGGCACATAAAAATTATTATAAAATTGGATAACATACAAAATCAAATTATACTTATTTATTGATAAATTGTATTATATAATTTCAAATATTTTCGTATTAAAATACCCGCACGGTTGTGCGGGTCGAAATCTAGTCTATACTATTAAAGTTCATGACTGTTTTGGTTTATGTCCCTGAACTTTCTATGAAATTACAAAACATTCCATTTCACTTCCTTTTAAACGAAATCGTGGGCTGAAAATAACAAATAACTTCAAACAGCAAAGCCCAAACGAAATGGGCTTCGAACATCAATACTTAATTCATATTTACAATTATGTTTTTAAAACAAAATGGCTTCAAACCCTATTTAGTAACCCTATTGATATTTACAATTCTATTTAATAACAATATACCCTAAACTTTAATCAAACCCTAAACCCTATTTCGTTTCATATATGCTTTGTACATCATCCTTCCCAGCATCATTGCATGATCCTGCCAAATACATAAGAACAACACCTTTATACATGAACCAAACAATATCAAATATCTATATTTATTTTCAAAATCATATATTTTTGGGATATTTATTCAAAACATATTACATTTACACATAAACCAAACAATATCAATAACCAAATTCGGTTTTCAACCTCATAAATTGTCGGGATATTTATTCTTAACATATCATTGAATATTCTCTGTAATTGAATATTCTTTTTAATTGTTACCAACAATAAATTACGAAAATATATATGTGTAGAAATAAAAGTATAGAAACAGAAACCAAAAGATTTGCTAACTAATTAATTATATTTTCCAAATTTACCAAATACTAATCCTAAAATTTATTCTAACATATCATTGAATATTTTCTGTAATTGAATATTCTTTTTAATTGTTACCAACAATAAATTATGAAAATATATATGTGTAGAAATAAAAGTATAGAAACAGAAACCAAAAGATTTGCTAACTAATTAATTATATTTTCCGAATTTGCCAAATACTAATCCTAAAATATATTCTATACACAAAATAATCTATTTTGTTCAAGTTTATTTATGGATTTCCAAAATACTAATCATAATCAATATTCGATACTAAAGAGAATATCCCCAAACTTTCTCCCCAAGTTTCTACTAAAACCTAACCACGTCGCTTAAATCTGCTTTATATATAAATAGACAGCACCCTATTCATGTTCCAACCCACACCTTCGAACAAACCAGTAAACAAAACTATGGCTACTAAAATGCAAATCCAAGCATCAAGAGGTTCTAATGATAAAGTGGTCCTTTTACACGACTTGAAACCATGNTTTCTACTAAAACCTAACCACGTCGCTTAAATCTGCTTTATATATAAATAGACAGCACCCTATTCATGTTCCAACCCACACCTTCGAACAAACCAGTAAACAAAACTATGGCTACTAAAATGCAAATCCAAGCATCAAGAGGTTCTAATGATAAAGTGGTCCTTTTACACGACTTGAAACCATGGAAAAACACATGGTTAGTTCATGTAAAGGTTCTACATGCTTGGAAACAAAACATTCAATCCGTGGAGACCATGGAGTTCGTTTTCGCTGATGAGACTGTAAGTTATTTTTCCTGTATTTATCATTCTGTTCTTTATCATTGTTTCGAGTGTTATTTGATGTTTCTATATTTTTGTTTTACATGTTGAAGGGGCAAAAAATCCATGCAACATGTAAAAGGACTTACATTGAAAGTAAGACAAGGCTTCTTACAGTTGGAGCATGGCGCTACCTCCGGAATTTCCAGATTACTCCTGCTGGTGGAGCTTATCGAACCACAAATCATTCATGGAGATCGTAGGAAAGACTTACGGCTTTGGGATATGCGGAGATGATGAAAACAATGTTTGTGGAGCAGAAACGTTTGAAGCCTTGAAAGTTTGGAATCTTGATAACATTCTAAGGAAGAGAATCAAGTCATTGCACCAGTTATCTACGAAGAAACAATGCAGTGTCAGAGGAATTGAAAAAAAATGTCTGATTATGAAGCCAAAGACAAGAAGAGCGGCTAATTCTATCCCGAAGACAGAATCATCATCAGTTTTTTTTTTATGTTTTACTTATGCTATGGTTTTACGAATTGAATAATGTTGTTTATGCGTTCTTTCTACTTTGGTTTTTTGTGGCTTTTATGAACGCATCAATAAAGTTTTCGATCGAACTACCAATACTAAAATCAAACTCCGTTTTCTACCAATAAAGCTGAAATCTGGTCAATTGTAACGAACATAGTATAATATATATCAGGAGATGACTCAAACAACTATCAATATTGAAGATTATTGTTGGAAGAATTTGTGTCTCTTGACTTTATCAGAATCCGATTTTTTTTTAAAATTAATATTGACGGGTCAGTTTTTTAGTCAATATACTTTTGGGCCCGTTTATAGTATCTCGCAGACCCAACTATTTTTGCACCAAATCGATAGCATTGCTATATATTTGAACCAATTTTAATATATACTAAACCAATGTACCTAAAAACCCTAATAACTCGACGTGAAGAATTATTTAAGCCGCTTTAACAGAAAGTTCTTCTTTACAAAAAATTTTCACATAGACAAAACCGGGAAATATGGCCAACAAGGTTCCTTTGAATTCATTGCAATACCAATGTCCAACTCAGGAAAAGGTATAATAATTTTATTATTGTTTGGCCCGTAGACTTTAATTACATCTTCAAAATATTATTGTGTTTGAAAATATGTTTCAGGGATCAACAGTCAAACATTTTGTCCATCTTGATGATCAAGATAAATCCAAATTTTTGGTATGGATGGAAAATAACAAATTACGTGTTGATGTAGAAGATTTTGGGAATTCAGGTCGCAGTGCCAAAGCAAATTTTGTTTGGAATCCAATTTCTAAAACGTGGGAATCAGAATTTGAGATTATTCGGATCACACGGACAACTATATGTGGCTGTCTCCACTCTCCAGAGTGACTTCTAAGAAAGGTTTGAAGATTTTAATTGTTCACAGCGAAGGTAAGCCTCAACGCAAAACAAAGAACGTGGTCTTTAGAGAGGTTTTCGATACTCTATGATTTGAAGTTTTTTATTAAGTTATTTAGAACTATAAAATCTAAATTTTTGGTTATTTATTTTGACTCGCGTATTGGTTCTATATTACTAAGTTTATCTTAAATTGTTTTCGAACTTTTGGAAAAGTTCGATACTTAAAAGGATTCTAAAATTTTGATTCATGATAAGGAAAACACATAATTGATGAGGCTCGAAAGCCTCAGTACCTTGCAATGACTGTTTCTAACAAAATAACACATTAAATGCCAGAAAGTCAGATGCCAGCTTCATCTCTATAAATCTTTAACATACACTGCACTCAACTGTAGGAAAGAGCTACACTGCAATCAAGATTCATCAAACAAACTTCCGGATTATTTTCATAACTACCAGTTTAAGTTCGAACTCTAATTACTAGGATGTGAAGAAAGCAGAAAATGCACTTACTGTGGTTTGTATTCCTTTGCCGTAATATCGAATATCCCATGTCCTTCAAATGATTAAAGCTCCTTCTCTATTAAAGGAAGTGCTCGACTTACACATGAAACATGTCTATACTATTAAGTAAACTCATTATTGTATAAAACTTACATGTTTCTCATGTATAAGCCAAAAAATAAGCTAAAGTCGGAAACTTATTTGTTTACTGCTCTATCTCTGATAATAGTGTCTCATTATATCACCTGAAAACAAAACGCAGTTATATGAACAGCCTTTTATGCTACTGGAAAAGGAAATTCTGAGAAGATTGTTAGGAAATCATTCCAATCTAACCTGAATAAGAAATCTAGAAAAAGCAACGTGTATATTTAGAATTTTGTCTCATGTCCTCATCAAGANTGTTTACTGCTCTATCTCTGATAATAGTGTCTCATTATATCACCTGAAAACAAAACGCAGTTATATGAACAGCCTTTTATGCTACTGGAAAAGGAAATTCTGAGAAGATTGTTAGGAAATCATTCCAATCTAACCTGAATAAGAAATCTAGAAAAAGCAACGTGTATATTTAGAATTTTGTCTCATGTCCTCATCAAGAATGTAGATATGTCTCAAAAACCTTGACTTCTCAATCTGCCTCAAGTCCATCATCATATTGTTGTGTATCAGAGTATGAAGATAAAGAAAACAGATTAGATATATTTTTTTGTATTCTACAAACCTATACTGTTAAAACATATTTATTATTCAAATATAATAGATTTAATTGGAAATAACCGTGTATATTTAGACCAGAAAACAAACCGTTTAATTCTTTCTCATAATTTCTTTCGGACAAACGATTTTAAATTAAAGGATATTGTACAAAACATATTATTAAAAAGTATATCGATTATCCTAAACAAACCTTTACATGGAGGTTATGTTTATGTCTTTCCTTGGTCAATCAAGCTCTGGATGTTTTTCCAGATCGAGTTCACCGAATTTCACATGCAAAACAAATCAAAATAAAATATATATTGATGGTAAGTTCTTTAAATTAATCATATTTAACCGAATTTCACATGAGATTACCTATACCAATTCGTTGTATAGATCGGAAAGGCTCATCTCTCATTCTTCGATTTATCCTTCTCGATTCAGATCTTGAATTAGACGTGATCTGTAAAAGAATGAAATACAAAACTTAGAAAGAAAGATCGAACTTTAAAGGTAATCGATTTAGAACTACTAAGTGTATATTATCAAAAAGAAAAGTGGTGTATTATATGTAAGAAGAGATCGGAGAAAACAACCTTCTGTCGGTGGATCTAGATCGACATATCGTCTTTCTGGTTCCAGAGAGAGACGGTTTTTTTTTCAAAGCGTATACTTGTTGGTAATAAAAAATCAGATGTTGTCGGTAAACAACATATTTGTGTATTGTGTTTAATCAAATAGGCCCATCGTATGTTTCCCAGATTTGGCCCATTATCTGTTAAGGTTTTAAAAATATTGGGTCCTTAAAATTATTATGGATTGAAATTCATATTAAATTTTACAGCCTATTATTAAGTTTGGTACAAATNAATCAAATAGGCCCATCGTATGTTTCCCAGATTTGGCCCATTATCTGTTAAGGTTTTAAAAATATTGGGTCCTTAAAATTATTATGGATTGAAATTCATATTAAATTTTACAGCCTATTATTAAGTTTGGTACAAATAATTTATATATATTATTTGTATTCAAATTTTATTATTAAGTTTGGTAAAATTCATAACTGTATAACTAATTCTAATTAATATAATTTATGAAAATTACCAAAAAAATAGATTAAATTAACATAAGAATCAAAAAAATGTATAATCTAATTCAAATTAATATAATTTATAAAATTTACCAATTACATAGATTAAAAAAGAAAAAAAACAGCATTTTGACAATACAAACATTTTGTATAGATTAAAAATTAACGTAAACATAAAAAAATCAATTTCTAACTAAAATCATTAACACAGTTGGTATACATTTTATATAAAAACACATTTGTTATAATAAAAAAATAAATGTCACATGAAACATACCCGCGCTTCGGAAGCGCGGGTCAAAATCTAGTATAGATTAATCCCAATGATTAAATTGCACATCAAGTCATAATCGTCCTAAACAGAAATTCAATAAATAGAAAAAAAAAACACCATTGAGATTAATTAAAATATAAACAAGCATTGATTTGAGAACTCTAGTAAAACGTAATGGTCTAGGGAGAAAACCCTTCCGGGGTGCTATCCTCCCTCATACGCTTGGTCTTGGGAGGATATCCTACCTACAAGATTTATATGAAATGAAACATATATAAGTATTAAGACATGTATTTACATTTTTATCATTAAGAAAAAAAAAACTTGCCTCATCATTGTATTTAGATATTTTAAAAAGCCTTCGGTTGCGACGGGCAGATTGAAAATGCGTATTCATTATGTTGTCCTGTTTGACAACGAGTAGAAAGAGTTAAACGGGTTGTTGTCTAGACAATCTATATTGATAGAGAGGAAGAGGGGAGTAGAAAGAGTTAAAAGGATGCGTACCTCCTTTGTATGTTCATTACTTGAGAGATGCTTTTTGAAATCATCGAGGCTTTCGCAATCAAAGGTACACAATAGGCAAATAAACATACCGGTAGATTCAACAATTGTTTCACTTCCACTGCACTTCTGAAGAATTTGTCTTTTTGTCTTTGAAACTGGGGAGGAAAAAATAAAGATCAACTAAATAGTTTGGTGGTATCAATGTAGTGGAAGATAAGAGAACAAAGAAAACACCTGCAAGTAAGCTTTCCCAGAGCCACTCTGCAGAAGTAAGCAGGACTGGCATTTCGAAAGGCCTAAATGAATATGCCAAAAAACAGTTGTAGTTACTCCGTTGTAGTTGAGTGCAAACAAGTGATGAATGAGAGTTCTTCGAAGCCAGTTCATCCGATATGATCATAATTGTAGCCGGAGCAGGATTATCTTCTGCCCATTCCTCAAATTCTGTAATCATGCGACTGTAATGGACCGCTGTTTCAACAAAGGAAACAATGATTTCAGTGGGGATATAATAGTTGAAAATTAAAACCCTACTTATTATATAACAGCAGGGAGGGAAATGGGACTAACAGGGAAGGATATGTGCAAAATCGACTCCAGTGGAAGAGAGCGCTAGAAGAAGGTGATCAGGGGTTTCTTTTTGGTCGGCAAAGGCAGTGATGGAGACAGGACCAGAGTAGCCTAGTTTCTTGAACGCCTTTTCTAAACTTGGACGGACCCGGCGAGCATCATACCCCTCAGGAATCGGGCAGTCAAGCATGTCCCACAACACCAGTATTTCAGCTGTGGCGTGTTCAGGCGTGGCCGGGTAGTTCCTTGCCCAAGTCTTAGTTACACAATTGAGTCGTGTATCCAGAGGGCTTATAGCCTCCTGCTTAACAAAAAGTTTTTGCTCAGAGCATGAAACAAAAGTATTTAAGATATATATATATAGAGAGAGAGGATGCTTACTTCCAGTCCATGATTATAACTCGAGAGATGGTTCCTGAATTTATCCAGATTTTGGCAATTGAAATTGCACGATTTGCAATAAAACATGGCATCAGATGATAATCCACCCGCTACAAGTGGTCGTGGTGGTGGTGTGCCTCCTTCTTCTTCTTTTTCTAGTAATTGTTCCCAGCGCCAATTTCCTTCATAGTGCAAGAATAAACCCGTACAACGCTTACTTGAATAAGCCAGAAAAAGGTGGTATCTAGTGCGCTGTTGTAGACGGGCCAGATCCCAGCATAAGTCACCTTCCACCTGATCGGATATGATCATAGTGTTAGCCGGAGGAGGATTTTGAGCTCGCCATTCCACCATATCCCGATACATGACTGAGCGCGTGCTATCTGTGAATGTATGTAATACATCAAATTAGTCTAGGAGGTTTTGTTATATATACTACAACATTAGAGAAAAGACTAACCGGAGCTGGTATGTGCAATAGCGACTCCAGTGGAAGACAGCCCTCCCAGGACGTGGCAAGGAGTTTGTTTTTGGTCGCCATAGGCAGTGATGGAGACAGGACCAGTGTAGCCTCGTTTTCTGAAAGCCCTTTCTATACTTGGACGGACCCGACAAGCATCATACGCCTCCGGAATCGGACAGTCCTTCATGTCCCACCACACCTCTATTTTACTTGTCTCCGCAGCTTCATCGTTCCCCGACATCCTCTATAACGAATCTCACACACAAGTCCTCCGTCAGTAGTACTAGGGTTTCTTTTGTAATCACCAAACTAATGGGCCTAAACGAAACCTAGTGTTATATCAGGGAGAATTGGAAATATAGATCATGATGATAACAAACTAGATACGCGGGTGTTTGTTTCCTTTAAAGCCTATTTTTCCTAATTGTATCTCACTTTTTTTTCTTGTTTTTTTCTGCTAAAGGAATTTTATCTCACTTCACATGTATCTAACCTTATATACACTTTATATATTTTGAGAAATGATGATAATAGTATTCACCTGAAACAATTGTTCTTGTTAAACAACGAAAGGTTGACACAAATTCGCAACCTTTCTCTCTCCTCCCGCCCTCTCTCCCGAACCTCTCAAATCTGATCGAGTTTAGTTTGGCTCCGGCGTCCAATTTAATAGGGTCTCTTTTATATGGGTATCTTAGCAATTTAATTAAAGAAAAGATATGATGGATAGTCTCTCAAGTAAGAAACTAATGTATAATATTTAAGTTTTTTTATTAGTATTTTATTCGTTTGTGTATTTTTATGTTATTGTAATTATAATTTTTATTTATGAGGTATTTGGTTTCCATGTTTTAATTTTTCAAAATATTCAATATGGTCATGACATTTTTTTTACTTTATACTGTGGTTTAAATTTGGCATAGTTGATTAATTTTAGTGTATGTTGCTAATTATGTCTGTAATATCCATCATATTTTGATTAATTTATTAAATTATTTGATTTTCTATAATTTTATTTAAGCATACTAATAGTTTATGAAGTAACGAAATCCAATAAGTGAGATATTTTTTTTCATGTATAAGTCCATTCTGGTGAAAGTTGCATAACACAAAGTGACATCACAAAATATCTATAAAGTCGGTGTAATATTCTTCATGCATCCACAGAAGTACAATACAATAAAAAGATATCTTAAAATCACCAGTATAAGAACTGATCTTAAATATGTTAATTATTTTTGATTCACCTTTTATTAACTTATTCTCGTATTTTTGAAACAAATCATCATCGTGTTCCCTTGTACAAAAATGAAAATATAAGTTAAGGGTTGTATATAACTGAAGAATAAAATTTTGATTTCTATAACTATACGATTAGCAAAACCTTTTAAATATGAGTTTTAAAATTACCTCATCACCAATCAAAATATTCATCTCAATAAAAACAGTGTTTTTAGATATTTTTCCAATAGCATCATGATATTAACTTTGATCCAGCATGTATTCAAAGATGGATGGATTTCTCTAACAAAAACCATAGAAGTTATTTTCTATGACGAAAATACATAGTTTTTTTATATGAGTGAAAAAAGATTTTCTATGAAAGATGGATGATAGTTTGGTTATTTAGATTTCTGTGATAGCTTGATAGTTTAGATTTATGAGGAACTTGCAAAAGTATGGGTTTTATTTGATGTTTTTCACTACAAGAAAACAAAGCATTTACTAGGAAATTTTACTAGGAAAATTCTTCCTCGTAAATTTACTAAGCCTTTACTAGGATCTTACGAGGAAAGCAAATTTCCTCGTAAGTTCCTCGAAAACTTACGAGGAAACACTTTCCTCGTAAGACCTTAGTACATTTACGAGGAGATTACGAGGAAAAAGTACTTTTCC